ATATACACCTAGGATGCTAGGGGGTTAGTGAAACAGCCTAATTTTCATTTTTGGGTGAACTAACCCTTTAATATGCATTATTGGTCTTATTGTGCAAAACCCAAAAACTTGTTCCACCACTGAAACTACTTTAGTTTCCGCCTGACATAACAAATAAAAATATACTTTTTCCTTCTTTCTCTCCAAACGCCTGCCTCTATATCAGTATGCAAAGTTCACAGATAAAATGATGGATAAAATCCTGCCTTACATTTTTCCTTTCCAAATATTCAAATTCAATCATAAATAATTAAATAAACCTGGCATAAATCAAAGGCGTTCACAGGTCATGTACTCAAGAATTAATGTCAGTCTCATGTTTGGCTTTCAAGCTAAATTACAGTTAAAAATCTACAGCGTGTCACGACACCTACAACCTTTGACTGTCATTAATTTGTATTCGGCGGACGCGTGTGAAAGTGCTCCATAAGCACCCCCTTGATTCTCCTCCGCAGACCTGATCGCTGATTCTGCTGATGCCAGACGCTTCCAGATCTCAAGACCCTATCAGAGCCACCTTTGACCTCTCAGACATCGCCGTCAAATCCAAGATCTCATTAATGTCAAAATAACGTGCAAAAGTGCAACATGTAATGCAGCGACTGCCTCTAAAGAACAAGATGCAGCAGATGCAAAGGCTACACAGATACAACAATCCCACAATGCATTGCGACTAATTCAACATGCAAAAATGTTCATCCAGTGTGAAGGACGAGAAACATTATTAGTATTAAAATGCTGATAACGTCAATAAAAAACAATATTAAACTATTTGTGCACTATATGCCTGTATTTGTATGTAATTAGAGGTAAGGCATCAATAGTTCAGCAACACATTAATGTCAACCATCAATTGTGTTTATATTATATTCTATATTATATCTAAAATATAAATAAATATTGATATGTTTAATGGTAAAAGAGAAAAATATACAATCAGAATTGGCTCTCATTTAAAATATGCATATATATATTTTCAATAATTCAATAAAAATATGCATATATAGTTTTAATAAAAAATGACACAATAAATGTATATTACATTAATTAATTAATTTCACTTTTATCTAAAACGACATACAGTATAAATGAGAAATGCAATAAAGGATAAAAAAAAATAAAAATAGAAATAGAAATAAATATATAAATACTAAAATAAATAATCTTACATAAATGACTAATACTACATTATATCTCAAACAGAAATAAATACTGATATGTTTGCAACCAATAAAGTGAAACTCGAGAAAAATATAAAAAACAATCAGAATATACATATACACACTTCGATAAGATAATTAGCATAAATTAAAATGTTAACTTTAAAAAATTAACTTTTATCCAAAGCGACATATAAATGAGGAATGTAACAAGTGATAAATATATAATAAACATAATAAATCTAAATCTAAATAATATATAAATGATAAAATAAATAATCGTACATAAATGATAAATATTATATTTAATATAATATAATATAAACCCAGTAAACAATAAATACACATTTATTAATTTAGCTTTTATCTAATGTGACATATAAATTAGTAATACAAGTGATAAATATATAATACATTTAAATAAAAAATGAATATATAAACTAAAAATAAAATAAAATAACCATACATAAATGATATAATATAATATAATAAATATAATATATGCAGTTGTTTTAATACTAATTAGAGTTAATGCATCATTAGTGCAGAAAAACATTAACGTCAACCTCTGTTGACATCAATTTAGTCAAATTAGTCAAAGTCTGATCAGTTCATTTGAAATTAGGATGTTGCCTTAGAAGTCAGCTGCCTATGTAGGGAGCCTACAGCAAGACAGCTCACTAGGTTTGAACCTGAACACCGAAAACAAAAGCATTTCTAAAAGTGTAAAAACTCACCTTTGTGGCACGAACTCCATTCCCCCAAGACGAACTCGCTCTGTCTTCCAGATCTACAGAGAGAAGGACAGAAATCACATTCACAAACTCATCTCAGACATCTTTGTTCTCGGTTTAAGAGATGAACTCGGCGACAATTACTCATCATCTCCGCTGTAGTGATGCACCTTGTTTCATACGGATTACATAATCTGAGAATATTTGTTTTCCATTTGAATTGGTTCATTTGAAAGTAGACATTTCACTCTCTCTCTATATATATATTTTAATGTCTGTAAGGCAAAGATATACACGGTGTTTCGCGCTCAAGTTCATAGAGACTGAGACGGCAGAAAGAGCATCATGTTTGCTTTCTTTATTTTACAAAAGCTCGTTTTGTTGTTATTGTGAGTGCACACAAATAAATGTTGAGTCTTTACAGATTTAGGCGAGCGTTTGGATGCCCTGCCCGATGTACTGTATTACCATAGACTAACGTTAGCCGTTAACGATCTCTCCGTCACGAACTGCGTGACTTCGCCTGTGGATTTATTTGTATTATTTTTTTTTTATGCGACTAAGCATCTAATAAAATTTTGGTCGACCAAGCCTCTTCTGGTCGACTAACGATTAGTTGACTATTAGGGGGAAGCCCTAGCAGAAACTGATAAAAGGATTCGAACAGGCCTTCGTGATTTAAAGAGAAACAAACTGCTTTAAAATAAGCTCTGATGACTGATGAAAAGCAGCAGATCTGTCACTTAATTATGCTGATTTATAGATACATATACATAGATAAATATAGATATATTTAATTCAATTCAAGTTTATTTGTATAGCGCTTTTTACAATACAAATCGTTGCAAAGCAACTTTACAGAAAAT